TGTGCCAAATTTCTGCAAGAACGAGAGGTAACATGTATTAGCCTGAGTACAGAAGTCCATCCAAAAGAGCCATCTTGTCTATTGGCATGCCCTTCCTGACACATCTATGCCCAGATCCCTATTACTTGGTGAGGGTCTCTTATAGTTGTTAAGGGGGACTCCATGCGAAAAAAAAAAAAAGGGGGGGGCAGGGTCCTCCACCGAATTCTATACCACACTCTTCAGTGACCCAGTGGCAAATTACCGTGTCCTCATTGTGGTGAAGACTTCTTTCCTATAACCTTCGCACAGTGATTGTTGAGGTCTGCAGGCAGGGGGATTTATCAGTATCTGGAAGCCCCCTTTAACAAAAATGTAAATGAGTAAGGGGTACATAATACTCCTACCTATTGAAAGAAAACAATGAAAAGTAAAAAAAAACACAGTTTTTAAAAAGTTATTTATTGAAAAAAAGTCAACATTGTAAACCAATCATGTGACTCAGCAATACAGATCAATATCAAACATGATGACTGATGCCCCCTAATTTACCAAAAGTAAAAATCCAACCAACTGACACGTTAGATCCTGCCACTGACCAGCACTGAATGATATCTCCTAGGCCCCATCACTAAAAGTAAGTAAGCAGGCAGAATTTCCTTGGTTATGTATTTGACCAAATATGGTCACAACTATATACTGTATGGTCAATGCCATTACACAATTATGACCATGTGGCTATATTTAGTAAATTCTGTCATGCTAAACCTGTCCCTTTGTTTATACAGCTAAGGATTTTCAGCCAGTAAAAAAATGGAGAAATGGGGATGTTACTTGTTGCTAAGGACACAGTGGGTGCCAGCATACAGTGCCTTGAAAAAGTATTCATACCCCTTGAAATGTTACACATTTTGTCATGTTACAACCAAAAACATTAATGTATTTTATTGGGATTTTATGTGATAGACCAACACAAAGCGGCACATAATTGTGAAGTGGAAGGAAAATAAGAAATGTTTTTCTTAATTTCTTTACAAATAAATATCTGAAAAGTGTGGAGTGCATTTGTATTCAGCCCCCTTTACTCTGATACCCCTAACTAAAATCTAGTGGAACCAATTGCCTTCAGAAGTCACCTAAATTAGTAAATAGAGTCCACCTGTGTGCAATTTAATCTCAGTATTAATACAGCTGTTCTGTGAAGCCCTCAGAGGTTTGTTAAACATTAGTGAACAAACAGCATCACGAAGGCCAAGGAACACACCAGACAGGTCAGGAATAAAATTATGGAGAAGTTTAAAGCAGGGTTAGGTTATAAAAAAAATCCCAATCTTTGAATATCTCTTGGAGCGCTGTTCAATTCATCATCTGAAAATGGAAAGAGTATGGCATAACTGCAAACCTACCAAGACATGGCCGTCCACCTAAACAGACAGGCTGGGTAAGGAGTGCATTAATCAAAGAAACAGCCAAGAGGCCCATGGTAACTCTGGAGGAGCTGCAGATATCCACAACTCAGGTGGGAGAATTTGTCCACAGGACAACTATTAGTCGTGCGCTCCAAAAATCTGGCCATTATGGAAGAGTGGCAAAAAGAAAGCCATTGTTGAAAGAAAGCCATAGGAAGTCCCATTTGCAGTCTGTGAGAGGCCATGTAGGAGACACAACAAACATGTGGAAGAAGGTGCTCTGGTCAGATGAGACCAAAATTTAGCTTTTTGGCCTAAAAGCAAAACGCTATGTGTGGCTGAAAACTAAAACTGTACATAACCCTGAACACATACACCGTGAAACATGGTGGTGGCAACATCATGTTGTGGGGATGCTTTTCTTCAGTAGGGACAGAGAAGCTGGTCAGAGTTGATGGGAAGATGGATGGAGCCAATACACAGCAATGTTAGAAGAAAACCTGATAGAGTCTGCAAAAGACTTGAGAGACTGGGGCAGAGGTTCACCTTCCAGCAGGACAATGACCCTAAACATGCACCCAGAGCTACAATGAAATGGTATAGATCAAAGCATATTCATGTGTTAGAATGGCCCAGTCTAAGTCCAGACCTAAACCCAATTGAGAATCTGTGGCAAGACTTGAAAATCACAGACCCTCACAGAGGCTCGCCATCCAATCTGACAGAGCTTGAGCTATTTTGCAAAGAAGAATGGGCACAAATGTCACTCTCTAGATGTGCAAAGCTGGTAGAGACATATCCAAAAAGACTTGCAGCTGTAATTGCAGCAAAAGGTGGTTCTACAAAGTATTGACTCAGAGGGGCTGAATACAAATACATGCCACACTTTTCAGATATTTATTTGTAAAAATTTAGAAAAACATTTATTTTCCTTCCATTTCATAACATAACAAAATGTGGAAAATTTCAAGGGGTATGAATACTTTTTCAAGGCGCTGTACCCGAGAGGCAGTCCAATGACCAGCTGAAGGACCTTGCACAGCAAACAAGCAACGCTGCTATTTGCGAGGCAGTGACTTAGCACTGTCAGCCTGAAACAGGAAGTGCTGTTACTGGCAGGATCTTCTAGTGAGAATCTTAGCAACAGGTGCAGAAAAAAAGGATTTGCTTAAGATTGAAGTATACGCTTCAGACATGAAGCTGAACATACCTAAAAAAATTTTTACATTTTTGGGATGACATTTTAATTATTTTTTTCAAGGTCCCTGTACTGTACCATGGAGTGTTTTAGAGTGTTTTTTGGAACCAGCCTTTCCACCTCATTTTAACCTAATTAGCTTTCTTAGTTTTAATAAGGAATTTAACAAAAGTAAATGTACTTGCTCTAGTACAAAATGTGAAGCATTCTTCTTTTTTATGGTGCAATCAAGAAAATTGAAAACCAGAAGGATCATCAACTGACTCATCTCTTGTTTAACAGGAACTAATAAAAGATGATAACTCTAAATGATAATTTAATTTCACCAGCTTTTAGACATTATCACAGGAGTGTAGATGTTGATAGTTCAAGTACCAAGAAAACCTGTTTCAAAGTTGTGATTGAATGCTGCATCACTGGCATGATTATTTGAAAACACACTGCATTTACAAAAACTTTCCAAAGAGCATATTTAAGGTGGTAGCTTTCTTCTTTCATTGACAAAAGTTAATTGTTTTCACAGAATCCAATACATTCTATGAATGGGGGAGATGATTCTGGCAAGTCATCCATTTTTCCCCATTTAGGGCCAGTTCACACCAAAACACGGTGTGGGAAACCTATGTTCAGTGCATGTTTCCCACACCAAATTCAAAATGCACTGCACCTGCGATCTGTAGTGGATGTCAGTGTGAACTTAACAACACCCCAAATGCAGTGTGTTTGTCTGCATTGATCACATGGCACAGTAGTACCATGCGATCCGGTTGCGTTTTTTTTTTTTTACAGTAGTGCATGCACTACTTTTGTTGTAGTCTGGCACAATTTCAGCCCATTCAAATGAATGGGCTGAAATCGCACTACACCCAGGTCATATGTGAATTGTATAGGAACATACAATGTGTGATTCATGGTGCAAACTGACCCCTACAGAATGTACAGCTTCATGCAAGTCAACAATTCTTGATCGTAGGTCTTCTGAGAGCTCTTTTCTGCGAGGCATGATTCACATCAGACAGTGCTTCTTGAAACCAGTAAACCCAAAACAGGTGTGTGTTTTTTAAGGGCAGGACAGCTGTCAGCAACACATCCAATATCATCACACTGATTACAGTCAAGGTTGGCTCACTCCTGGCTCCAATTAGCTCTGGGAGAAGTCATTAAGCCAGGGCCTCACATACTTTTTCCTCCCTGCACTGTGAATGTTTACATGTTATGTGCAATTAAACCATGGCAACATCTAATGTTTGTGTAGTATTATGTTCAGCAGACTGTGTTCTTCTATTGTTGTGACTTAGATGACGTTCAGAGCACATTTTATGCCCAATTCATGCAAAACTCCACATAATCCCAAGGGGTTCATATACTTTTTCTTGCAACTGTATTTCATTGTACTGCAATGCAATGGTCTGCATTAGTGGAGAGAAGTTTTCATTAGGAACCGCAAGCCCGTCAGACATGAAGCATACTTCATTACAGGTAAGATGTAGCAAAAAGAAAAAGTATTTAAAACTAAACTTCAGCGTTTAAATCTAGTGAATATAAAAAAAGATCTTTTGTTTGCATAAATTAGCAGAGGCCCTAGAGAATAAAATGGTTGGTGTTGCAATTTTTTATGTCACGTGGTATTTGTGCAGTGTTTTTTTCAAAAGCAATTTTTAAAAAATTACACTTTAATTAATCATATTTTACACAAACACTGCACAATACCTTATTTATTTGTTAAAATATAAAAGATGATGTTACAAGTAAATATATACCTAACATGTCATGCTTTAAAATTGCATACCCCAGTGGAACTGCGCCAAACTATGGTACCTAAAATCTCCATAGGCAATGCTTTAAAAGCATATACGGGTTACCAGTTTAAAGTTAGACAGGAGGTCTGGGGCTAAAAATTATTCATACATATGCATTCGCAGTTGCACATAAGCACAGGGAACACAAGGGGGGCGCCAGCCAAGTGCGGCATCAAGGAGTTTATTAGGATAAAAAATCCAAATGCAAATTCACAGAAATAAAAAATCAAAGAGCTTATTTGCAGCCTTGTCACATTGGATGGAAGCCATCCACCAGAAGAGCCGCTTGTGACAGCTTGTTGTCAGTGAGGAGAGCCACTATGGAGCAAAGGGCAGGATGTGATTTCACTCCTGGGTTGGGCTACTTGCTATGAAATTATGTTTTGCAGCTCCTATTGGCTCCAGTTTTAATTCTTCAATTCACATGACTGAAGATATAAAGGTTTTTATTGTTTTTTTTAAAATAGTGTAGCACCACCAATCATGCAAAACTATCAACTTTTTGTGTGTCATAAATATATAAAACTTAAATAAAAGAAATAGATAAATATCATATAAATTATATTATAGTCTCTTGTGTATTAAAGTGTTACTAAACCCAGAACCCTGCATTCACTATATCTGGTCTCCCACAGTACACAGAACATGGAACTGCAATTATTTTAGTAAATTCTAAATAAACTGCTAAATACCTTTTCTCATTGGCAGGTAGAGCAGTCTGGTGAATTCTATCAGTGTTCAGCAGTGCACTGGTTAAAGCTTGCAGGAGGAGTTTTCATTCTTCTGTAGGAGGATGCAGAACTCCTGACCTCTGTTTGGACAGTGCTGATCACATGCACTCTCCCCCCAAAAAAAATTTCTAGCAGTACATACCAAACTGAGCATGTGCAGAGTGTCTCCACGCAATATGTCTTATCAGGAGATAAGAGGAGGACACTGGAAGAAGAGGAGCATCAGAGAAGTCAGGATCAACGCAATGCAGGGGATTAACCCTTTAGGTTCCATGGTGAGTATAAGCATGCTTTACTGCCAGGGGCGGACTGACCATTTGGAAACTCAGGCACTGCCCAAGGGCCCGGGGTCAGTAGGGGGCCCCATGAGATGCCCCTGGTTCCTTTTTCATAGGCGTTTTTGAGATTGGGCAAGGACAGAGGGGCCCCATGATCCCCTATTGCCCGGGGGCCCCAAGAGTTGTCAGTCCGGCCCTGTTTACTGCATATACAGACTGATTTTATTGTTGTGGGTTTAGTAACACTTTAATTGTGCTTCAGCCTCCAATATTCTTTAGTGAATATAAGTTGACACTCCACTTGTGCCATCACTTTAAACACCATATGCTCACCTTCTTTATTTGACCTATAGATTATAATAGGTTAACATGTATATTATGAAGGTATAAAGTATCATCAAAACAACAGGGTAGAGATGTTAAAACAACATTATGTGTTGAAGACAGATGGCATTAAAGGCTTGGAAAACATCATCAACATTTCAGAACATGTCCAGCTGAATGTGACTAACTACTACTAGATTTACCTGGATAAATGAGAACTTTTACAGTCATTTTTTAGTAACTTTTGCTAGTGAGCTAACTGACACAAGCTATTAGTAGAGCTAACACTGGGGTGGTAGGATTGCAAACTGCAGCAGAAATGAAATGCAGGCACATAGTGGTTCTTGTGCACACCTATAGTAGCATCACAAGCCCTCCTGTCAAAGCCTAATCTTTAGCCATTTTGGGAAAAAAGCTGGCTATGTATGGTCACACAATGTCCCCACCAGGACATTGTCTTCTGAAAGCGGCAAGTGCTAACTGGCTGAAGCCACTGATTGATGGAACATTTTTCAATATGACTGTTTATTAGAAGTTGATTAAACAAACAAATTCTGTGGAATGCAGAAGTCCACACTCTGAAACTTGGCCGGTTTCTGCTGCACTGGCCAAAATTTGATCCATGTGTGGGTAGTTTAAAGCTTTCTAAAGTGCTGAAGCTTGCCTTCCCATCCGTCTCCTACATGTTTGTTTGGTCAATGTGGCTGGCCATCATAGTTAGACATGTGCAATTCGTTTCGGTCCCAATATGAATTTGGAATTTTTTGCTTATTCGGAGATTCGGATGTATCTGAATCTCCAAATGACATGGTAACAAATTTCACTGAAACTCATTTAGTTTTGTCTTGTATCTTCATTTTCTAACAAATCCTAAATTTTCAAAACAATTCGAAATGGGTCGAAAATTGATTGAGGATCAGAATTCTATTTGAAGAATAGCTGGTTGCTAAGGAGCATGCCAGCAAGCTGGCTGTCACATCCTTAACAACCGATGACTAATAAGCTGTGACAGCTGAATGTAAAAAAACTATTGGCAGCAATTAGAAATTCTGAAGGGAAACCCCAAGTCAAAATTAAAAAAAAAAATGGCATGGAGTCTCCCCCAAAAATCCATACCAGATCCTTATCTGAGCATGCAGGGGATGCTCCACCCCAAAGCACCAAGTTCCCATGTTGATAAGGACAAGGGCCTCTTGCCCACAACAATGGCCTGATGGTTGTTGGGTGCGAGGGGTTACTTATTGGAATCTGGAAGCCCCCTTTAAAAAAGGGGTCCCAGATCCTGACCCCCCATGTCAATTAGTATGGGTACATACTCCTAGTACCCCTACTCATTCACCAAAAAGTGTAAAAAGTTAGTAAAAACACAACAACAGTTTTTGACAGCTTGCTGGTCTGCTCCTTAGCAACCAGCTATTCTATTCAAATAGAAATTCAAATAGAATTCAGATTGGTTGATCAATTTTCGATTTCTAATCATTCCAAAAATTTGAAATTTGTTAGAAAATGAATAAATGAATAAATGAAACTAAACGAAAGTAAACTAAACAAATTCCGAAAACATATAGTGAAACAAAATTAGTAATATAACGAATATACCCGAAACAAAATGAAACACATTTTTTCCGTTCTGCACACATCTAATCATAGTGAATGACCAATGTGTATGTGGGGAAATGTCCAAGCTTTACTTTTTAGAACATTGTGGCATATGGCCTTGACAGGAAGGATTGGGAGACTTCTGCAGGTATGCATTCCTCTAGGTGCCTGCACTTCATACATGCGTAGCACTACCCCCCTTAAGGGTTGCTTAGTAATTTTTGGGTTCCCAGTCAATCTAGGTCTCTTTCTGAAAGTTCAACCTCTGCTGTCACCACCGTACTCTTGTGACCAGAATAAGTCACTCACACACAAGTTAGTGTAAATCAATATGAGGTTTATATTGAATTTGAACAAAGCCTGATCAAAAAATAACATTGGCATATGCAACAGATATAATCACTCGTGTCAACTTTAAGGAAAAGTAACAGCTTCCACAGTAAAGCACCACTAACTATTAGTAAGCCTTCTTTCAAAAATAAACCACTGCATCCAATCTGAGGTGGCTGTTGAATCCTCAGTGAGCAAGAACAACTATCAATAAATAGGTAAGCTCACTGCAGATCCTCAGAACCTGATGGCAAGGACTTGATTTGAAAATGGAGAGAGCTCTCATATAAAATCAACCAATGTCCCTTTGAGAACAATGTGGAGTCTTCTGCACGCTAGTTGGGGCCCAATTGGTGTGAAGATGATCTAAGATGTAGATGATAGTTAATAAGTACTTCTCCTCTAAGTAAACTGTAAACTGATGCAAGGTCCCCTTTAAGGCACTAAACAAGGACAGATTTAAAGTAGTGAAGTGTAACAAGTGTCTGTGAGCAAGATTAACTCTCTCTGGGTGACAAGCGCTACAGGCAACAGTAGTAGAAATTCTGATCAGCTGGGAAAGGTAAATTGTTGTTTCAGTTGGCACTGCTGGATTCTGACCTGAAGCTGTGTGTCCTCTGGTCAGCTTGGATGATGAGACTGTAGACTGTAATGGAAACATGTTCCAACAATGATGGCTGGGAGAACTAGGAAGCAAACTGAGGTAACTATGTGTAATGTTCACAACTATGTGCAGATAAATAGCAGATATGATGAAATTGTCAGTGTTCACTTAGTGGGTGTATGGGATTCTCTCACCCGATCAATGGTATCCAACAGGTCTTAGTGGTCTGTCTTTCTCTGCAGATGGGGGCCCCCACAGGCTCTACTGTCCTGATTCGGCATCCCGTCTGGTCTGGTCTGCTTACAGATTGGCTCGCTGGGCAGTGTGGCAAGACTGATAATCAGCAGAATCTTTCCACTCCTCCTCCCTCTCTAACTCCACGGCCTGGTCCAATACTCCAGCCATCAGCACACTTACTCCTCACTCGATCTCTCCCTTCTCACTTCCTGCTCAGTCCCCCGGGCTTTAAGATATATGCCCTCGCCCACATGCAAGCACTTCTGGGAAATGTAGTTTCCATATGCACTGCTTCTTCGTAAAGTCCTGCAATTCGGCCTACAAGTTCCATATGGCTGTTCTTCAACATGCGACTGTTCTGCAGGACACTGCTATCTGGTGTCTCCAATGGAATCTTTTCTCCAATGGAATCTTTTTATGATGATCTTACTAGTACATAGAAAGACTCATTAGCTGCATAAGACACACACAGATCCAAAACCTACCCTGCATCTGTAAACTGTAATTTAGTAAAGTGGTATTAAAACCATTTTCATGAATTAAGGGCTATTACTAAACTTCATTTTAAATGGCTACATTGTTAAATTCATGTTTACCATGTCATTTAATTTTCTACTTACTTCAACGTACACAGTAATGAAATTAGCATATTTACACAAACAGAAAATTCTATAGTTTTTTATATTAACTATAAAATTACAGAAATGACGCTCCTAAATTATAAAATGGTGGTGCACAAGCTGATTTCATTTATCTGATACCAGTTATGGGTCACTAGAGAGCTGTTACATAACTTTAAACGGTACTGATTTTATGAATGTCTATTTAAACAAGCATACAGTTCTTAGTATGGAGCTAATAAATGTCCTTGTAATCATGCTAACAGATGTTAAAAAAAATCCACACATTCAAAAATTAAATGCATACCTGTTTTCAATCCTCGTTACTGTTGTCGTTCATTTTCCAGGGCTGACAAGCACCATTATTGATTTAGTAAATGATTTAAGCATGTTTTTACTGGGTTGTTAAATGGATATTTGCTCTTGCCACATTTTATACAGTCAGGGCCTGCTTTGATCTCAGGGCTACTCTCTGGAGTGCTCTGTGTCTATTCTGGATAGAATTTGATCTTTTTCTGATGGAACATTTCAAAGTGATTGAAGTGTTCTCAATGACCTTCAGTGCATAGTAGGGACTGACTCCTATATGATACTCAAACAACAACAGGTTCTGACTTATTCTATGTTCTCAGGGCATCCTACTCAACTTATTTTCATCCTGGGTATAGTTAAGATGGTCATATGCTTGTAGCCCTCCTTTGGGGGCTATGACAAAGGGCTCTCCCCAAACAGGATATTGCACTATACCTGTAGGTAAATAAGAGAACCAGAAGAGTGGGGTTGACAATAAAGTTGGCAGTGCCTTCACCCAGGGCTGGGCTCTTGTGAACAGAGGGGATTCCCTTCCTGGGAAAATTAACCAGCAATCTAAGCAACATAACTGGGAGCAGAAGAACTACTGCAACCAGCAT